AGCCATGCATGTTAATGCATACACATTGGGTTGTTTCCCTTCTCCCTAATTTTCGCGAGGAAGTCACTTCTCCCTAAAATTTCCCCCCAGGATGAGCCCTGATAGTGGAATTATTTCATAGCAATGGTGACAAAAAATATTGTCGATAAAAAATCAAGCAGTGGACAAGACACTGTACAGTACATGTTTTTGACTGAAATCATTGAAACAGGTATGAAAATGAATGACAGACAAGTGAGTATAGGATATTATCGATGTATCGTTGATTTTAGTTACTTGATATCGATATATCGTTGATATGCTTTGCATTGAATCAATGACAGCTCTAATAGTCTGAAAATATGGCAAATTTAAAAAACATAAACTGGATCCATTGATAACTCAAAAAGTACTGAAATATTTTAATGAAACTTAAAATATGGGTAGATGGCAGTCTGGAGATTTTTTCCAACAAATTTACTTAAAAAAGAGAAAAGTTGAAACATTTGTTATTCTTATTCATACTGAGAAAATTGGACCTTTTGATTATCTGTTGTATAAACATAATTTCAATACTAGGCAGGGAAACTTAACACATTACTGTGATATAGACAAACCTAGAACGCAAAAGATTTAAGTTCATTCATGTCATTCATTCACTGGTAAAATTGAATGGCCAATGGCCCATCAGAATGTTGCTGGGGTTCTAACTAGTGATGTTCCGATTGTCGCAAGTCGTCGATAATTAGTTACTGTTATTTAAAGCGACAATAATCGATTCACTAAAATTTGTTCCGCGACGTCGTCGAAAATGTTTAAAAATCAAATGTAATTAATTCTGACAGTTATTTTCTTTTAGGAACACCTCGCCGACCGCAAAAAATCATCTCAGAGACAATTTGGAGTTGAACAGGCTCAATAAGTGATGTAAACAATAGTAATATAATGTGATTTGAATGTTATTATTTGACATCCATTGCAAAAAAAATCTATTTTGTGAAATTATGACTATATAAGGTTAAAAAACTGTGTTAAAAAGTGCTAAATAAGTTCATGTTACTGAATATAATCAAGTGCCTTGTGAAGAAATGTTACTGCCCTATTTCTTTTTAACGCGACTTTATTCGAAAAGTTATCGATTATGTCCCATCCGACTGAACCGATGATCGATTGGGACAAATTTCAACCGATTTCCATCACTAGTTCTAACCGGTAGGGGACTTATGGATTGCTTGCAATACTATGATAATTGCTTGTTGATATTGTTTCGCCGGTCTTTGGAAACCGGGGACCATCGAAGACCAGAGACCGTTGATTTATAGTTAGCATTTGATTTGATGATATTCGGATAGGATGCATATCCATATAATTTGTCCAAAACTACCAGCGTATTTTGCGGTGATGAAACTGACAATACGCGTGGGTTTTGAAGACAATTGAGTATTTTATTTATTTAAATGGGTTTTGATATGCATTCTAAAAAAATCAATTGCGTATTTTATAAAATTAATTGCGTAAATACGCAAATACGCACCTTATCTGTTGCTCTGCCCTAAATATATTTAATAAAAACATTTGAAATTTTGGCTGCATGTGGGAGCGCATTCATTGTGTTGCGACACATGTCTAGTTTAAAAATGTTTGAGATCTGTGACTATAACCTCATGGTTTTAACACTGGTTGACCACACTTGGTTTATCATCTAAAAAGGGAGGGTTATAAAAAAAAAATTTAAACCCCTTTTGCACAAAAAATGCCCCTTTTTCCCAAAAAGGGTTTAAAACTGAAAAGTTTTTAAAAGGGGTTTTTTGAAATTAATTTTATTAAAACCCGGGGTTCCTTAAAATTTCCAAAATTTTGGGAAATCACATTTATACGTAAAAAAAAAAAAGTATAAAAAAAGTCACAAGGCAAAACCAAGGAGTAAATGACTCCCAAACGTCCATTACCTGAAGCCCTGTATAAAAATGATGTGTGTAAACATTGAATAGTTGAAGGGCCTTGAACTTAGAATATAGAATGAAAAAGTGATTTATGCAAACAAATTTGGAACTAGACCAAAAATAAAATAGTTTCTTTCCCCTTCCCGACCCATTAAAATTAGAGTTACTCAACAGTTAGGTAGGTAGGTAGGAAAATTATTTTTTTATTTTGTGTTAAAAATAATAGTTTGGGAAAATTGTATTTAATTTAACTATTTTTAAGTATTAAAATTTTAATTTAAATTTAAATTTCAAAAGTTAAAATTTTACATACATTTATAAACCCTTTCTTTACAACTGACATATCTGCACAAATTTATTAACTGCTAGCGGCAAAAATATCGATTAGATTGTACCAATTGTACTCTGAAAAAGAAATACTTCCATCCCCTAAGAACCTCAAAAAATATTTTGGGTAGCGGCAATTTGTTGGGTAGGTAGGGAAGGGGAAACAAATTAAATTTTATTTTAGGCCCTAAATATCATTATAACATTTGAAATTTTGGCTGCATTGTGTTGCAACACATGTCTAGTTTAAAAATCTTTGAGATCTGTGACTATAACCTCATGGTTTTTAACACTGGGTGACCACACATGCATAATTACCATCTAATATGGGAGGGTTATAAATAAATTACCTCTTAGAAAATAAGGCAGACAAACAACCACATTGCTAAACGGGTTAACCCAACAGCAGGGCTGTTAGAAATGGCCTTTACCTGTGATCCCTACACTTCTCCCTACTTTACTGTCCCCGCCTTTTCGAAGAAAAAAGGGGGATATAGAAATAGGCTCCGTCCGTCCGTCCGTCCGTCACACTTTCGTGTCCGGTCCATAACTTTGTCATTTATGAAAGGAATTTGAAATAACTTGGCACAAATGTTTATTATAATAAGACGATGTGTCATGCACAACAACCAGACCCCTACCTCCAGGGTCAAGGTCGCACTTGCTCATTCAAGGTCAACATTGCCTATTTGAGGGTATATGTCGTGTCCAGTCCATAACTTTCTTATCTATGAAGGGATTTTGTAAATACGTTCCATAATTGTTCACAATAATCAGACGATGTGTCATGCGCAAAAACCAGTCACCTACCTTCAAGGTCAAGGTCACACAGGTCAAATATTAACATAGTCTGTTACAGGGTATATTTCGTGTCCGGTCCATAACTTTGTCATTTATCAAAGGAATTTGAAATTACTTGGCACAAATGTTTGTTATAATAAGACGATGTGTCATGCGCAACAACCAGACCCGTACCTTCAGGGTTAAGGTCGTACTTGCTCATTCAAGGTTAACATTGTCTATTTGAGTGTATATGTCGTATCCGGTCCATAACTTTCTTATCTATGAAGGGATTTTGTAAATACTTGCCATAATTGTTCACAATAATCAGACGATGTGTCATGCGTAAAAACCAGTCACCTACCTTCAAGGTCAAGGTCACACTTGGAGGTCAAATATTAACATAGTCTGTTACAGGGTATATTTCGTGTCCGGTCCATAACTTTGTCATTTATCAAAGGAATTTGAAATTACTTGGCACAAATGTTTGTTATAATAAGACGATGTGTCATGCGCAACAACCAGACCCCTACCTTCGAGTCAAGGTCGTACTTGCACATTCAAGGTCAACATTGTCTATTTGAGGGTATATGTCGTATCCGGTCCATAACTTTCTTATTGAAGGACTTTTGTAAATACTTGCCATAATTGTTCACAATAATCAGATGATGTGTCATGCGCAAAAACCAGTCACCTACTTCCAAAGTCAAGGTCACACTTGGAGGTCAAATACTTACATAGTCTGTTACAGGGTATATTTTGTGTCAGGTCTATAACTTTTTCATAGATCAAAGGATTTTGAAAATACTTCGCACAAATAGTCACTATAATAAGAGGATGTGTCATGCGCAACACCTGCATCCCTACCTCCAAGGTCAAGGTCACACTTAGAGGTCAAAAATTAACATAGTCTGTTATAGGGTATATTTTGTGTCGAATCTAGAACTTCTTCATAGTTCAAGGGATTTTGGAATAACTTGGCACTAATAGTCACAATAATAAGCCAATATGTCAGGAACAACACCTGCACCCCTACCTCTTAAGGTCAAGGTCACACTTAGAGGTCAAAGGTTAACAGAGTCTGTTATTTGGTATATTTTTTGTCCCGTCCATTACTTCTTCATAGATTAAGGGATTTTGAAAGTACTTAGCACAAATAGTCACAATGATTAGATGATATGTCATGCGTAACATCTGTGTCCCTACCTCCAAGGTCAAGGTCACACTTAGAGGTCAAAGATTTACGTAGTCTGTTATAGGGTATATTTTGTGTCCTATCTATAACTTCTTCATAGTTCAAGGGATTTTGAAAAAACTTGGCACAAATAGTCTCAATAATAAGACGTTATGTCATGCACAACACCTGCTCCCCTACCTCCAAGGTCAAGGTCACACTTAGAGGTCAAAGCTTAACATGATAGATTTTTAAATTCCGTGTTTAATTTTATTTTTTTAACAAATTTATTGTTACATTTGCAGATCTAGCATTGATCATAATTTTGGACTGAATGTCCTGAGATCCATACCTTAATTTTTTGAAATAGCACAATTTTATGCTTCATATATAACTCCCAGGGCTGGGGACGTTGGTAACTCTGTTACAAATTCTTGTTTGAAAAACAACAGTGGCAATTATGAGCAACACTCATGAGAGCCTTCTCATTTATCCTCATCACATATATGTTGTTCAGTTTAGCTCCTTGAATACCGCAACTCAGATAATTTACCTTTTCTTAAGCACCGTTCTATTCTTTCTGTCTAATTGATTGTTAGTCAGTTCTACATACCTGAAAAAGTCTTTCTTTAGTAAAATTACTTAATTTTGAGTCCATCTCTTATACAAAAACAAAAGAACAAGATTAATAAAAAACCCTTTCCAATCCATGTGAACCATAATGAATACTAATATTGGGTGAAAATAAGTATGGTTTCAAGTTGGACAAAATGGTGATAATTGACTTTATATTTCAGATATAAACGTGCAGAGTGGAAATGGTCTGTTGATAGAGCAGCTATAGTGGCAAGATGGACATGGTTACAAGCACAAGTTTCAGATCTTGAATATCGTATTAGACAGCAGAGTGAAATCTATAAAACAATTAGAACTAGTAAAGGTGTTGTAAGTTTATGTGATTCAACTTCATCTTTAGGACCAAATGGGGATGCTGCATCTAAAATGTTGCATGATACCTCACCAGCAAGTGTTGCAACATTAATGATCAATGTAAATAAGCAAGCTTCAAAGTTGTCCCAATCTCTTGGAAATAGTCTTTCACCAGCCCATTCTGCAGGACTGGGCAATATGAATAAGAATTCTGCAAAATCTTTGAATGGACTTGTGGATGGATCCCATCAAGACTCATCCAGTAATGTATTTTCTTTGCAGATAGGAACAAATGAAAAGGCAGCAATTGAAAATTCTAGTGGAAAGAATTCTCCAGTTTTTGGTCAGCCATTAGATGCTTCTTGTGTTGCAGCAAGATGTAGACCAGTAAAATTCTATAGAAAACGTAAACTTCTTTACACTGCTGGCTTACATCAAGTAAATCACAAAGCAGCACGTTTATCTAGTGTGAAATGTTTATGTTACCCTCCTGTGATGCCATGCCCCATGTGTGGGGGTCGATATAATAATGTACAAAAATTTGATGCAGAATGTATGCCTATTATGGAGAAGGTGTCCTTGTTGGATCCAGCTTTTCATCCTGTACTGTCTTTCCCACAAGGTGAGGATCTGTTTGTTAAAATATTTAAAGGTTGATGTTTAGTTAAAGAAAGTAGCTTATTCATTATGACCCCCTTTGAAGAAGAAGGGACATTGCTTTGTAGATGTCAGTCAGTTCAGCATTATTTCAAAAACAACATTTCTCGCCAACGCATTTGCCTATAATCCTAAACTTCATAGGTGTATTGGTCTTTCAAGGAAGACACTTCTTGATTTTGGGGTTGAGGGGCTAAAGGTCAAGGTCACATGATTGATCGGTTGCTCAAGTACATGTGCATATAATACAAGTTTTCTGATTGAATGATTTAGGGCACTTGAATAAAAAAACTTGTTTTGTCCTGTTAATGATTGTTGTGTCTCCTGCTACACAGTAGCTGCAACATTTGAAAAAATAGAGGTATTGTTACAGTCATGGCGACGTTCCCATTGCTGTTGGCAAGCTTTAAGCTTGTCTGAAGCTTTTTAGCTCATTATACCCCCACAAACGAAGTTTAGGGGGGGTATATAGGAGTCAGCTTGTCGGTCGGTCCACATCATGGTTTCCGGACAAAAACTAGAGTTTGGAATGAGGTATTGTAATCAAACTTTGTATATAGCAACCTTATGTGGAGACTCCAGTTGATATTGCATTTGGATCAAGGTCAAGGTCACCATTCAGGGCCTTTTTACCCTTCTTTACTGTAGCCGGTATCCGGCTACTTCCCCAAGCCAACTTACTACCTTTTTTCCCCAAAAAACAGTCTAAAATTCCCTTCTTGGGAAGATTTCCCCTTTCAAAGAAATGTTTAATTGAAGAAAAAAACTTGTTAAACTTGTTAAACTTTCTTGTTTAAAAATAGATCATTGTTTTTGTCCAATGAAAGCTAATTTTTCAATTACCCACAAGAGGGATACCTTGTTTCAATACAATTGATGTTAACTCACAGCCTCGGTCTGAGTTTGCAACTTTCTAAAAGCAACATGGGAAAACCCCGCTGCCTTATTTTTTAGTGCACACGTGATTTTTTTTACGACAATACGGCGAACGATTTACGATGTCGCAAATGTAAACAATGTCACAGAACAAGAAGAAAATACGATTGAGAGACATTTGTTATTGTTTATGAAAAATTGGACGAATTGTTGACCTTCCTGTAAGTGCAAGAAAATCCAATACATGTATCCACTCGCATGTTCATGTGTCCGAGTAGCACAACATGCCCAAGTGTGGGAAATAGCGAGTCTAGCACAACAGTGCAAGTAACAGTGATACAGTGGGAACTGATAATAATGTTCCCTCAGAATCAAATCAAGAACTCATGTCCTACGTAAATTTCCTATTATTAGGAAATATGAGTCAAGGTATTCTTGGGCAAATATAAAGTGGCAATAAATTGATCTGTAAAAAAAATCTCCAACTTATGTTGGACAGAAAGCTCCTTAAGTGTGTTTGGAGGAAAATATGCAAATATATTACATTTCCACCCAAATGTGTGATTTAAATAAGTCTTTTATTTATAGTATATATGGTTAAAGAACCACACACAGACTGCCTGTGGAAAATAAGATATTTTCCCCAAAAGTATGAAAACCACGCATTTTTTCCCCACAAAATGGGCAAGGGCGCCATCCTCAAAACGAGCAAAAAGGCCCTGCCATTACTAAAAATAGAAAAATGGTTTCCGGACAATAACTAGAGTTAGGAATGAGATATTATAATCAAACTTGGTGTATAGCAAGCTAATATGAAGACCCCAGTTGGTATTGCATTTGGACCCCCTGGGATCTAGGTCAAGGTCACTATTACTGAAAATAGAAAATGGTTTCTAGACAATAACTAAAAGACTGGACACGCGAAACCCGCAAAAGTCGCGTTATGCCGCGTGTGTAGTCTATGACGTGACGGGACATTACGCGGTAAAACATTGCCGCGTGCAAGTTCGCCAAATTTCATGGCGGTTCACGAAAAATCGCCGCGATGAATCGCCGTAATTTACGGCAAAAATACAATAATAGAAAGTACTACTTGGTCAAGCCCGGGGTTTTTAGCTCACCTGTCACAAAGTGACAGGGTGAGCTTTTGTGATCGCTTTTCGTCCGGCGTCTGTCCGTTGTCCGTCCGTCAGTAAACTTTTACTTTAAATGACATCTCATAAACCACTAAGCCAATTTCGTCCAAACTTCACAGGAATGTTCCTTTGGTGGTCACCTTTAAAACTTGTTCAAAGAATTTAATTCCATGCAGAACTCTGGTTGCCATGGCAACCGAAAGAAAAAACTTTAAATATCTTCTTTTAAAAAACCCAAAGAGCTAGAGCTTAGATATTTGGCATGAAACATCTTCTAGTGAGTGTCTACCAAGTTTGTTCAAATAAAAGCCCTGGGGTCAAAATTGGCCCCGCCCAAGGGGGTCATTGATTTTCCCTATATGTATATAGTAAAAACTTAAAAAATCTTCTTTTAAAGAACCCATAGAGCTAGAGCTAAGATATTTAGCATGAAACATCTTCTAAAAAGTGTCTACCAAGTTTGTTTAAATAAAAGCCCTGGGGTCAAAATTGGCCCTGCCCCAGGGGGTCATTGATTTTCCCTATATGCATAATTATAGTAAAAACTTAAAAAATCTTCTTTTAAAGAACCCATAGAGCTAGAGCTAAGATATTTAGCATGAAACATCTTCTAATAAGTGTCTACCAAGTTTGTTCAAATAAAAGCCCTGGGATCAAAATTGGCCCCGCCCCAGGGGGTCATTGATTTTCCCTATATGCGTATAGTAAAAACATATAAAATCTTCTTTTAAAGAACCCAAAGAGCTAGAGCTAAGATATTTAGCATGAAACATGTTCTAATGGGTGTCTACCAAATTTGTTCAAATAAGGGCCCTGGGGTCAAAATTTGCCCTGCCCTGGGGGTCATTGATTTTCCTTATATGTGTAAAGCAAAAACTTAAGAAAAAAAATCTTCTTTGAAAAAAAAACAAATAGCTAGAGTTTTGTTACTAATCATGAAACATCTTCTAGTGAGTGTCTACAAAGTTTGTTGATATAAAAGCCCTTGGGTCAAAATTGGCCTCGCCCCGGGGGCCATTGTTTTATTTATGTGTATGGCAAAAACTTGAAAATCTTCTTTGAAAAAACCCAAATAGCTAGTTTAGATATTAAGCATGAAAAATCTTCTAGTAAGTGTCTACAAAGTTTGTTCAAATAAAAGCCCTGGGGTTAAAACTGGCCTCACCCCAGAGGTGTCATTGTTTTTAACTATATGTGTATAGTAAAAACTTAAAAAATCTTCTTTTAAAAAACCCAATGAGCTAGAGGTTAGATTTTAAGCAGGAAACATCTTTTTGTTGGTGTTTACCAAGTTTGTTCAAATAAAAGCCCTTGGGTTAAAATTGGCCCTGCCAAAGGGGGGGGGGGGGGGGGGGGCGGAGGGTCATTCTTTTTCATTATATGTGTGTAGTAAAAACTTAACATCATGAAACATCTTCTGATGGGTGTCTTCCAAGTTTGTTCAAATAAAAGCCCTGGGGACTAAACTGGCCCCGCTCCGGGGGCCTATATACAGGTGAGCGACCTCAGGGCCATCATGGCCCTCTTGTTTAATTTTTACTATATACATAATATTATAGTAAAAACTTTGAAAAAAATCTTGTAAATGTCATGTATATTTATTAATATTTAGCAATTGAACTTGTACAGTGTACAGCGTATACATTTTGTATTCGAAAACAAAGCAATCAGGTGCTGGATGAAAATTAGTTAACAACAAAACGAGATTAAAATTACAAAATGTATTTGGAACTACATCAAAGAACGCACGATAACAAATTGTCCAATTGTTACTTTGATAATAATACAAATGTAATTAAAATACGTTGTTTCCTTCGCACATATTCTATTTTTAGAACAATACAGTGCGACATTTATTACCGGTTCACAGGTGTAACTTATTATTACGTCTAATACGCTAATTATAATTGTTGAAAATTGTAAATGTTTTATCACTTAAATTAAGACTTTCTTAACTTTCTATTTCACGAGTAAAAAATGCCAGGTGCATGAGATGAGTAGATGATGAGTAGAAAGATGCAAGTTGATTGGTCGACAATAAAACAATTTAATTACAAACAATTACAAGATTTTCTTGATACAACTTGATGTAGATCTACTAATTAATTTTCATACATGTACATGTATATCATTTAAATACGAATGGTTTCAACATCATAGAGTACAACATACATTTATTATACAAAGTAACATGTATTATTCCGGGCAAATGTTCACGGCAAAATGACCGCGAGTCGAATTCGAGGGAATTGTCTCAAGTTGCCGCGAATTTGCTCGCGTTATAAAGCATGAGGGTTCGCCGCGAAAACGCAAATTGTGAGTGTTTCGCGTGTCCAGTACTGTAGAGTTAGGAATCAAACTTGGTGTATAGGAAGCTATATTTAACAGTCTAGCAGTCACAGTTTTGATTGGATCATTGACAAACTTTGTCAGAATGTTTGTCTCAATAAAATACAGATTGAGTTTGAAGATGGGTCATCTCGAGTCGAAAACTAGGTCACAGAAGCTAAAAATAGAAAAAGCTTGTTAACCCTCTAGTGGCTGCAGTTTTGATCCAGATATTCTGGAAATTTGTCAGGAAGGTTGTTTTGATGATTCCTATGTCAAGTTCAAAGATTGGTCATCTCAGGTCAAAAACTAGGTCACAGAAGCTAAAAATAGAAAAAGCTTGTTAACACTCTAGTGGCTGCAGTTTTGATCCAAATATTCTGGAAATTTGTCAGGAAGGTTGTTTTGATGATATCTTGGTCAAGTTCGAAGATGGATCATCTCCAGTCAAAAACTAGGTCACAGGAGCTAAAAATAGAAAAAGCTTGTTAACACTCTAGTGGCTGCAGTTTTGATACAAATATTCTGGAAATTTGTCAGGAAGGTTGTTTTGATGATTTCTAGGTCAAGTTTGAAGATGGATCATCTCCAGTCAAAAACTAGGTCACAGGAGCTAAAAATAGAA